AACTCCTTCATAGAATGCAGTATTCTAAACCTCAGACTCATTGGCTATGATATGCACTTAGTAGTTAGCTTAGCAGCTTGTCTTACAAGTCAGGTGCTGTTTCTCTCAGATACAATAGTCCTGAACTAATAGCCTATCATCCCCATTGCCTACCACCTATTCTCAATACAGCATTACATTTTATCATCCTCATGCTCAATTCGGTTTCCTATGGCAATTAGAAAAAAAAAATCTTATTAAATCAGCTTACCTTGGCTTGCAATGTTACATGATCTAGTCTCTTTCCTTTACTTCACCTCTTTCTGCTTTTGTTACTCCTTAGCTCACCCCACCCATCCCACCCTTTTCTACTTACCCTCCAAGCTTTTCAAATTATACAGGCTTTGCCTTAGCTGATCATTATGGAGAATGCCTGCATTAGATGTCAACTCAAAATGAGTGACTCAGAACACATGCCTAAAGTGGCACTCAGCTACTTTGTATACTGTAATGCTTTGACTAGCATTTATGACTACTTCTTGATTATCAAGTAAGCAAGCTCAGGGAACTGAGAAGGCCTTGTCCATTCATTCATTCATTCAGGGCCCGGTACATAAAGGTGCTCAATTAATACTTGATATTGTTCAATGATTTGTCTTGATTAAAATACGAAAAAGTTATCTTAATAAGCCAAACAGCTGGAAACCAGTGGTTCATGAATGTAATCCTACAGGTTCAAAGTCAATCCAGGCAAATAGTTTGCAAGATCCTATCTCGAGAAAACCTAACACTAAAATGGGCTCGTCGAGTGGCTCAAGTGCTAGAGTACCTGCCTAGCAAATGTGGGGCCCTGAACTCAATCTCCAGTACCACAAAAAATAAAAAATAAAAAAAACCCACCTAAATATATATGCCAAGGTATTTTATTTTTATAGGGATTGTCTGTATGGCATTATGAGAGTTCATTCTTTTGGATCATCTGCATGTTCTAATAGGCATAGTATGTACACACACACAAAAGAAAATTGTGACAAAATACATATCCAAAAGGAGTGCCTTCCTAACACTACGCATCTACTCTCTCCCCACAGGGCTTTGGTCGTTTTTAATCTAAGAGCAGAGAACTTTCTTTAATTCATCATACATTAACAGTACCTAGAACAGTGCCTGGCACTTTGAAGCTTGATAAATAGTTAATGGATGAGCAACTGCAAGTTAATCAGAATAGTCCCCCTGAAAACTTGAATACAAATAATGGAGGAGGGAGACACAACCGTGAATATAACACATGAAACTTTAAATATTGCTAGACTGATTAAGCAGATCAGAAAAAGAGATGTCCACTACTCAAGAGACAAGTACTCAGGTAAATTCCTTAGAAAAGTTTCAAACTTGGAATTTCCACTTATCTGATGTCTCCAAGGCACTGTGGCCAAAAAAGTCACTTAAACACAGAATCAACAGTAGAAAAAATTGTAACAGTTCTGACATTGTTTTAGGTGCTTATGTTCATTGAATGCTTATAATCACCTATCTCATTTTACAAATGTGGAAAGAGGCACAGAAAAGGGCTCACTACTGAGCCCAGGCTATGTCTCCAAAGCCCTGTTCTTGACCATTAGGCACCATATGGAATAATTTACAGGTAGTACCTGGCCTAAATCTCCAAAGTTTGTGGGGGAAAGAACAATGGAAAGGGTGAGATGGAAGATGTTGGGGAATTTACTTCAAGGAGGAAGCCAGTCTTATCAAAATTTTAGAAATCAGATCAGTTAATGTGACAGCTTACAGAGGGCTTATAATTTTCCTGTGATTGTCTGAGTCTGCATTTATAGTATATTGCCCAGTATTTGGTAATGCTAAAAATGGACTTCTTAAAATTTGTAAGTATGTAATACATATATATACATATACTACATGAGCATATTTTAAGATTTTAGCTCCCGTCAAAAGCAGACAGTAATTTCATTATTTAGGAGTTATCTGACTGTACACTGCAAATGATTTTTGAAAATCAGTTTTTAATTTTTTAAATTACTTTCTATATGAGCCTACTGAAATCTAATCACAAGTATTCTGAATACAGAATTGAAAAAACCTAGTCTTTATTGATCTGTAGTTAAGATATAAATTAAAGATGAGCAAGTCAAACTAATCTAAAGGAAATACATGAACTTGATCCATTGCTCTATTTTCATCTGCTACATTTTTAAAAGACTATCATATAAGTGAAATGAACTTTTTGGAGAAAGGCTCTCACTGTGTTGCCCAGGGTAGCCTCAAACTTGTGATCCTACTGCATCAGACTCCGGAGTGCTAGGATTACAAGTGTACACCAACATGCCTGGCAAAATGAAGCATCTGGAATGGCTAAAACTTTCAATATTTTGCTCCATGTAAATTTCTTGGACTGGACTTGGGGTGTTCAATGAGAAGGTACTTGTTTAACATTAGCGAGGTCCTGTCTGGGCTCAATTTCCAGCAAGCAAGCAAGCAAGAAAAAAGGACTGGGGGTGTGGTTCAAGTGGCTGAGCAAGAGAAGGGGTGAGCAGAGGGAAGCTGGGCAAGGTGTATTCCAGTATTCAGGCAGGTGGATCCCTTGTGTCTTGGTGTTCAAGACCCACTTTAAAAAAATTTTAAAAACTTCCCAAATTAACTTGCTTCTTCAAATCTGGGTATACTTCAATACAATGTGAGATACACATTTTGTACTCCCTAAAAAAGTTTTTTTTTAGTCATGAAAGATAAGCTATAACATTACAATTGAGCTTAATATACATTTACAAAAATCTTAAGATTATTTAATGGTTATTTTCGTTTTTCTCCAAGATAATTAATTTAAGAAACTTATCACTAAACAACTATTTCTCCTTTAATAGTCTCATAGAGCCTTAAAATTTGTTATTCTGATTTTGGATCATAACCATAATTTCAAGTAAGCTCAATCTTCTCATCTACCTTTTTCTTTTCCTAAGGTGATACAGTCTAACAATCATTTAAAACCCAAGGTTGGGCCTGGCATGGTGGCAGAACACCTGTAATCTCAGCACTACAGAAGCTGAGGTAGGAGGATCATGAGTTCAAGACAGGCCTGGGCTACAAAGCAGGACCCTGTCTCAAAAACAAAACAAAAAGAGAAAAACAACAAACCCCCTCCCCTCAAACAGCTATTTACAGGTGTGCTTTTAGCTCACTCTCACCTTCCTTGTAACTTATTCTAATGTTTTTTTAACTTGTATTATAGCTAACTAACAGGACTGGGCTGAATCTCTAACAATGACTGTAACATCTGTTTTTGCTTTTTTAAACACAAACTTCACAAACAATACACAGTTGATTATAGAATAATTTCTCACTTAGGCTGTATGAAATGCAACTGGGAGAAAATAGCTGGGAACATAAAACTACAGATTAAATTAGGGACATAGATAAATGCTGAAGACATCAGTAGTTTATTGTTTGTTTAGTCCAAACACATTCAAAATGGAAACTCAAAAGAATACTTTCCACCTGAAACAATTAAACTAGATTCTACTAGCATATAATGCTTAACACATTACAGCAATAAAGATGGTAATCCATTGTCTTCTATACCTACTAAAGCCAAGATGGTAAAGCCAATTTGGTTGCAATAGTGTCACAAGGATAGAATATTACCATCGAAAAGTAAAATAAAATCAGCAAATAACTAATGGTAGATGAATAGTTTTACTGTTTCACTGAAAAGGGGACAAAATGTTAAAAGTCCACAGTACTGCAGGTGAGCAATCACCATGTAAACTTCTCCATACGATGTTTCATTTGTGGTATGTAAAGACTGAAGCTGAATGGCTCTTTGCTCTGATTTTCTATTACACTTAACATTTGTCATTTCTTTTGGTGCCAGAACCATTTTTATGGGTTAAAGGGCAAAATATACTGGATTGGAAGTATGTGTGTACACAAACACACGTGTACATACATACATACATATATATATAAAGGGATGAAAAAAGAATAATACAGGGAAAAATACACCTGGGGGGGTGAGGGGAAGAAGAAACACTGACAATAAAACCACTTATTTAATAGTTTGGATAAAAGCTTCAAAAACTCCAAAGTAATTTTCTAGTAAGAACTTCAAGTACTATACATCAGAAAATGTAAAACTGTTTCAAACAAAATAAAATATTCTCAAACCCCCCAAAATCGAAACTATGAAAAACCTGTGTCCCCAAAATATATGCAATAGTGCAAGACTTTTCCTCAGACATGGAAGACCTCATTCAAGGGGTGGGGGGGTGTGGGAAAGACAATAGACTTAATTTTACTCACATTGCCCAGTTCATAAAAACAAAATGTGTGCATCATTTGCCAGTTTACTAAATAGCAAATAGTTGCAAAATTCCAAACCAATCTGCTACTATGTCAAGTGCACATTTTTTTGTTTGTTTTTACTAAGACAGGATGGAGAAGTCTTCCATGCTAACAAGCAGCTTTAAGTGGTCATACTTATTTATCCCACTTCTTGCCTGAAACATCAGAACCTGGTATATACTGATTGCTCCAAGCATAAAATTGAGTAACCTTTGCTGTATTTGTGATTTACTAGAACTTGCTATAAAGACAGACAATAACCCAGCAGCTACAAACTTTGCTCACAGAATTGTTTAGAGATCCATGTAAAAATAAAAAAGTCACCCCAGACTTAAATTCAGGAGCCACTCAGGTGCTGACATTAGTTCAAGAATTGTGCAAAATGAATGACAGTTCCCTGCCCCCCAAATAGAAAATGCAAACACTTAAGAGCTGCTGTTCTTTCCTCTGAAAATTGCAGTATCCTCACTTTAGGTTTATTTGCCATTTATGGAATCTGACTGCTTTTAAAATGTCACTAAAAATATACATCAAATTGATTGACTTTTCCAAGCATTGAAGTGATACGTTTCAACGTTCACAGGACAAGAGAAAAGTCAACTAGATACTTACTCAAATAACTGACTTCCTCCTTCCCTCTCCCTCCCAAATACCCGACTCCCTCCCACAGAGAACACAAAAGTTGTTAACTAAAAAACAAGATAAATAATAAACGTCCATTTTACTGATTTTTAAAGATACTGCAATTTTTATATATTTCAATGATTTTTAACATTTTGCAGCTGTTTGGCTTTGCAGCACAGCAGTTCATAAACTATACTGTACAAAATTACCAGCAAGACTGGAATGATGTATTAATAGAAGGCACCATCATGCTTATTACATTACCAGAGAACAAAAATACAGGAAAGACAATTTTCACTGTACACAGCTTAAAGAAAGAAAAAAAGGGAGGAGAGGAGTGTGTTGAGCAGCCAGCCATCCCTGTACTGAAGAGGGGCAGGTAGAAAACTTCTTAGATATGGAGCTACTAAATCTGGTCTAATATTCAAGACCATAGCATTTGAAGTTCTGATTTTTGTTATTTAGTTCATAACTAAATGATTTCCTTCTGGAATATATTTGTAGTCTTGTTAAGGTTTTATGTGTACACACGCTGGTCACAGCAAGCAGATAAAATGCCCTCATCATTTCACAAACTATTCTCTACTGGAAAAGATGAAAGATTTTTTTCCCTGTTGCCTCCTGTTGCAGATGTCAATGTTAATGAGTTCAGAGTACCCAATAGTGCATTTTGATGAGTGCATAACAAGTTTCTGTTGGTTTGTATTTGGGGGGGAAGCCATGAAAAAAGGCAAGATTCTCCAATTGCACAAATTGCACTATTTGTGTTTCCAACGTTAATAGGCAGAAACAGTAACACTTAAACAAAATGTGCAGCAGAGGATTTTTTACACTCAAAGGACCTGAATTCAGTGGGCATGTCCTTTTAAGTTCATTTTGTTGTAGATAGTTTAAGATATGGTCATTCCTCAGTCCTTAATTCTCCAAGTCTACATTTATAAATTAACAATGTGAATCCTGTTGTGAAATTGGGGAAATAATGTCCACCTCAATTTAACTGATAACCAAAGATGCTTTTCACATCAAAGAAATGATCAAAAAGGCTGTGTCACATTCCAAAGCCAAAAAAAATTAACAAGAATGCAAACACGATGAGTAATGTACCACTGCCAAGACTATGCCAACAGTGGAGCTTCAGCGACGCTGTCCTGTGAAGCGGCCTTCCATTTGCCCGGTTCCTCTTCCAGAGCCAAGTTTCTGTGTCATGCCACCTCTTGGGGGAGGTCCTCTTCCATCACGGTCACGCATCATTCCACCACCCACTATTCCACGTGGACCACCAGGACCTCGATCATTGCGTCTAATATCCCTGCGATCATCACCGCCACCTCTGGTTTCTCTCTCTCTTGCAGCTCTTGTTTTCTTCTCTTCCACATTTAAACGTACTTCTCCTCTAAACATAATTGGCTTTAAAAGAGAAAAATATTGACATGAGCAGGTTAGGCAGCAGTAAGAAAGTATTCTTGCACAGATAAATTAGAAAATCCTAAGAAATAAAATTTTGATGAAAATCTTAATATGCCATCCTTCCAACTTTCTTCAGCAGAGCAAATAACGTTTAAAATGATCCATACCTTAGACTTTTCATACTACTACTATATCTTTATTCTTTGCATAAATACCATTTCACATGAATTATTTTTAGCTTTACCATTAAAAAAAGGTTTTCTATGGTTTTAAAATGCACCAAGTTAATATTATATACAACAGAAATAGTAAGGTCTTGAATTATGCCCTTTACATCACTTACTTTTGCAATTAAGATTCTCTGAACTGGTTCAGAGTCATCAAAAACCACAAAACCAAAATTTGGAAGCTTTCCCCCAACACCCTTGGTATTGATGCGAAGTTCCACAACGTTTCCAAAACCTGTGAAAATATACATTACACCAAGGGTTAAATATTTTGACAGAATACTCTTGATGGTTTTAATTGTTCAGGATGAATAACCTTAATGTCCTTGATCCATTTGAAAATAAAAGATGCAAGCTGCTACATCGAGTGGCAATTAAGGTACATTCACTCATGTAGGCCACTTAAGATACTAAACAGCTGGCCTGGCTGTTTTGTATCTTTTATCATCTTTATTGGTCTATTCATAAGGGAAGTTAACTGCAAAGTTTTAGAAGGACAATATATTTTCCCCTATTACTGAGTAGTATATGCCAAATGAGTCCTATCTTCAAATTTAAGACTCATTCATCCAGTCTTTTCTCCTAATCTCTGCTGCACCAGACCAAGGCAATAGTAATCAGTCACTGGGAGACATTTTAAAAAGTCATTTATTCCCTTCTGACCAGTTATGGTGAGATTGGTAATGGGGCACAGTATATAAATTTGTAAACATTTTTTAAAAACTGGTTATGAAAAAAGGTCTGTACTCCTCCTGCTTGATTTAAAATAATATGTAAATTGTAACTTAAAAGTATAATATAAAGACAAAATAAGCTACTTACTCATAAAGAATTCTTTCAGTTCATTTTCATCAATATCATGTGGCAAGTTACCAACAAAAAGTTGATGACTGTCTGGATAGCGAATAATTCTACGGTTGTCAGAGTCATTCTGTTCCATATCTCCTCTGCCTGATGACAGAGATACAGTAGATAATAAAGTTTACAACAGCATATAAAAAAAATGGTTCAAAGCAATGAATGTAAAAAAAAAAAAAATCACTTCATACTGATATTCCTAATTAAAAAAAAAAAAAACCTGATGAACTCCTTGAAGAGGTAAAGTACCTATTATTAGTAGAGGTTATTCAGAAAACAACATGACAATGAACTGTAAAGTAAGGGTATTGACTAGATTGCCAGTCTCTTCTTTTAGACTGATTGGATTATCAAACTCAAATACTGAAAGTACATGTTTCATTCCTCCTTAACCAAACTGTTGCTGTCACCCTGCAACCAAGCATACTAACTCAGTCCTTTGAAATTCAAAAATTAGGGAATCTTTGTATGATATTAAACCCGTATCAGTAAATTTTAATAGTATCAATATCTCATTTTGCCGTCTTTTATACATATTAGAGTACTCTCACATTTAAATAATCTTATTTGATTTTCCCAATAACACAAGTAGCACAATGAGCCATACAAAACAGGCATCACACAAGGATTTTTTTTTTTTTTTTCAATAACTGAAAGGCAGGAGAAGCTTTAAGAATTTCACTCAAGATCATAATAAACACCCTCAAGTGGCAAAGCTAGGGCAAAACCCCTAGCTCCTGTGACACCTGGTTTAGTAACACATTTTTTTTCTTTTTTTGGTAGAAGAATAATATTCTAAAACTTGATGTATACTAACTCCTACTTCCTCCCGAAAACAATCTAAACATTCTTACAGAAGTCAAAGGTATTACATTTATTAGCTAATGATGTAAACAAAAAAATCATGACAACTTATTTAATACCTAAGAACAACCAAAATAATAGTCAAGATGTGTTTAGTGTTTATCTGTAAGTGACAAGAGTATTAAATAAGTTATTGGCAGCTCAGTTCTGAATTCTTAAAACCAGTGACAATAACCAAATAAATAAAACTTGTCTCAAATCTTTTATGCCTTTAAAATACATGCCTCCATAGCATGTTAACAAATTCTCCCCTAAAAGTTTGTTGTTCTGTCCCACACTGTATTTCAGCATGCTGCTCAACTCTTAAAGCAACTTGATCTTCTCCAAGGATCTGTGTACACAGCTAATTAATTTTTCAAAATTCAGTCTTTTTGAACTTTCCAAATGCTAAATGGTAAAGACTAAAAAAGGAGGTGATTCACCTGGTCTTGGTCCTCTAGGAGGGAAACCAGGTCGTTCTCTAGGCCGTTGTTCACGTACTCGTGGAGGCTGAGATTGAACTTCTGGTTTAGCTTCAACTCTTGGCTAAAATATAAGGAGAAAAACACATTATAAAGAAGCACATTCTACAGGAGAAAAAAAACAACTAAAATAACTAACAGCAAATCACCAGCAGGCATAATGATAATTTTAAATTTGTAATGTTTTTGGCATGTTCTATGTATTTGGAAAAACATTTTAAAAGATATTCTGTACCAATCTAGGACTGTAGGGTAGGTTTTATTTTCCCACTCAACATTTTTTAAGTCACAATAAACTACTCTTTATAATCTCACTTTTTTATTGAAACTGCACAAAAGGTCTTGCTACCAAAAAAAAAAAGAAAGCAAGCAACATGAGCCACTCCATATAAATATATAAAAAAATTAAAAGCTATGTTATCTTAGCAAACAAGAATACAAGACACATAATTTCTAAATATCTAGTCTGCTGCCCTTCAGAAGTAAATGTTCACATCTTCTAACCCTACCTTATAACCTTAAAACCAGTATTTTAGTAGCTCAAAGTATACAATTTACATTGCTCTGCCTCTAGCTTTGAATGTATACTTAAAAAAAAAAGGACAGGAACTTCTATGTAACATCTCAAATAGTCAAGGAAGTCTTTAACAGCTTCCTACTGTTTTTCCTTATGATAAAGATGTACATTTAAAGTTATTGACCAGGGCTGGGGTTATGGCTCAAGTGCTAGAGTGCCTGCCTAGCAAGTACAAGGCCCTCAATTCAAAACTCAGTACAACCAATAAATAAGTAAAGCAAAGTTTTGACCCAATAATTTTCCTTAACTATGACAGGGGTTGAGGAGTAATAGGATAGTTTAAGTTATCTTCCAAAAGTTTCTGCCAACTGCTAAATTAAACACATCAAGTGACTCTTAAAACAAAATATCGTACACACCTGCCATTGCCTTGTCCTTTAATACAACAATATTTTCAGTGTTCCCAGTTACTTCAGGCTTTCTACCATATTATGGTCCAAGGAAGAGACAAAATAAATGAATCTTTATTCCTTTATGAATAAAGATGCTGAAAACACCCAGCAGGATATGGAGAACATGTCCTCAAAATCAAGAGCTAGACTCATATTTATAGGTAATCATCTCTGAGAACCTTGGTTTAAGCAGTGGCTCAATTGTTAATTGGGATATTGTAACAAGTACAAATTTAAATATAAAAATTATACTTAAAAAAATTGTTTACTGTCAATGATTTCAGCCACTGTAACCCAAAGATACCTGCTATGCTAGCAATTTTTCAGATTTGTCTGCCTCTTCCAAAACGCTATCTTCAATGTAGATATCGTTTCCCTCAAGATTAAACTGTTTTCCATGTCCTAGAATTCTGTTAGTTTAAAAATTTTAACCCTCTTCAGATATTTTTGTCATTTATATGTATTAATTCCTACTTTAATTCATTTTTACATCACCAAAATAACCAAGCACAGTGCTGTTTACACAGAAGTTCAGCAATTATTGGCTCATTTAAATTAAATTTTATTTTTAATTCTCTGACCCAAAACATGTAGGAGAATATTCGATGTTTAACAAGGAGACCTAATGGCATCCCCAAGACTACTACTGTCTGTATTTAGAGACTGATACTACATAACTGATCCAATACGTGATGCCTAAAAACATTGGTTATTTAGAAATTTCAACTAACGGACTCTAAATGCACACCATTATTTCAGTTTGAACATGAAATAGAATTACAGAATATATGTACTCTTTCCAGAGTTTAATAAAGCTAGTGCATTAATGAAGATTAATAAAAAACAGTAAATGTATCTTATATTTAAAACTTTCAGAAAAACCTTTGACTCACCCAAATGTTATAAAACAACTTGAGGTCCTGACCTTGATAGACTGAAATGCTTTTAAAATAGATGACCAAAATAAAGTAACTGTAAGTAGCAAAATGAAGTTCTTTTTCATCCTTTAAAATTTTTAAATTTAAATTGGTATAAACTTAAGTCATTTCCAACATCTTCCAAATAATAATGACTTAGCAACCTGACTTTTATAAGTAGACATTTGATGATGCCAGTGCATGAAAAATATGAAACCAAAAAGCTAACAATGTTCCTTTCAATAATTGATAAATAAAAGTCAAATATGTCATTATGTACTTATAACTCTTCAAGCCCAGTGATTAAAAGTAGTTATTCCAAAGAGATAAAAAGGCTGGTATCTCCACATTGTTATGGCCTTAAAAATTAATTTCATCTAACCAGAAGCATGACCTCAAGACAAAACCCACAAATGAATGTCAAACAGAATATGAATAAAAATGGAACCATCAAATCAATAAAAGCAGGTATAACCACAACTATAAACAAGTCCTTTAATTAAACATAAGCTATTTAAAGGAGCTAGTCTTTTCCAGACAAAAAGTATTTTACCAAGAAATAACTTACCTACTTCTAAATTAATGCCTACCAATAACCTAGAATTAGACTTAATTTTTTTATATCAATCATCTATATTAAAGTGTAAGGAAACAAATGCTTTTCAAAAGTAATAAAACTGAAGTGTTATTCAATCAAGTGGACATGTTATGGAATTTAATATAAAGACAGTATAAAGTGGTCAGAAAGTTCCTTGAAAATTTAAATTTTAAACATTTAAAATTTTCATTCTCCTAAAAGAGTGGAGTGGAAAATACAATCTAGTATCCTAGAATTTGAAAAATCACTTCAAGAAGTACTTAAAATGTAAGATAATGAACAGTTATTTTCCTGGGCAAGAGTCTAGAATCCAACATAGTTTAGGCAGGCATTAAATAAAGTACTTTAATACTAACATAAATACACACAGATACGTTACCCTCCAGCAAGGTACTACTGAAGAAATGTGTAGGTTTGTATAAGTCACACATGGAATAAGGTGTCCAACTACACAAAATCAAAAGCCAGCCCTATATTTAAGCTGTCTAACTTGGGTGAGTTATTCTAGGCCTCAATTTTCCTATCTCTAAAATGGGAATATTAACAGTGGTTTCCAAGAATTCAATAAGAATAAATATAAAGTATGTAGTTCAATGCCTGGCATATGAAAGGTATAACATTAGTTACTTAGCTTTTAACTATTTAAAATAAATATAGTCAAATTTGAAAAAATGAAATAATCTAAAGGTTGCAAATCCAAATCTAATAAGGAATCAAGATTTCAAAAGAAAGCCACAAGTCATGTATCAGGTCTCTGAATGGACTGAAAAGCACAAATGACACTGAGTAACCTAATTTTCTTCATTAAAATGGAACTCAAATTTGTGATCTAAGGTAACTCTTTTATATCTAACTGGAAAAAAAACCCCAGGTATTATAGCACTATATATTCAGTCATTATGTAGCTGATTGTAATGTATACCAATATCAAAAAGTTTCTAATTATTATTAGCTACTTTTGAAACCTCAACATTTTACTGTTTAGAGCATATAAAAGATTTATACACTAACATTTTAAGTGTAAATTTTCTAGTAAAAGTGAAATGAGTTTTAACTCAAAATACAGGGAAAAAGAACTGGATACCCTTTAACTATGCCAATAAACTTAAAATTCAGTTAATCTAATTGATACCTAACAAACATGGTAAAGAGCCAGTGTCGTATCTTCCCATTTTTGGAAAGCTCTGAAATGGGTAAGATGGCAAACAGACAAAAAAGCAGAATGCTGGAATGATCAGTTAAGGTGAACACTACAGTCATAAGTTGGTACAGGCTTCAATTAAAAGGTGTGAACCACTTACGGACTAAGAGCTTAGGCAATGTATATTAAAAAAAGGTTTTCTATTTTTTAAAAACAGTAATTCTGTACAATGCCATACTTCTCTGTCCCTTTCCAAATTTCTTACCTAAGATATTTTTGCTAAATAAGATGTAGAATTTTTTAAAGAAACTTTTTTTTGTTATTTTAAGAAGCCTTTTAAATGTCAATATTATGTATTGATAAACCAACTTAATCAGTATTTCACACACCCAAACCCCAAATACCACCTATGTAGATGATGAATGGAGATTTGGCATTTAAAGTGGGTGCACTGACATTTAATACAGTTTTTTGTATGTTTAATCCATAATTTCTGATTGACTCATTTAAAAAGTATTAAAAAAATATAAGCAATTGGCAATGTAACAAGGATACAATCCAATGTGTTCACAGATTGGTTACCTGTGAGACTGGTGCTTTAACATGGGGTGGAATTCCAGAGGAAGAAACAGTACCACTAGGAGGCAGGTTTTTACTGGTCACTGAAGCCCAGGAGAAAGCCTGCAGGAAATGCAACAAACCTAGACTACTAATCATGGAAAACCACCAACATTCCTAAAGGGAAACTTCCGAATATATATTTTCTTTTCATTTCTAAACTATTGCTCTATAGTGAAGGACTCCTAAAAGAAAGGCACACATACACATGCCAGTCTATGTGCCAGCTTTCAAAATCTCATTATGCAAGATTAGTTATAACTCTTTTGTCTGAACTACTAAAACCACAAGCAAGTTCCTACATACTCTTAAGTAAATAAGCAAGTGGCAAACAAAATCACTAACAACTAAACATGCTAGAAAAATCTGAACCTGATAGAACCAATTTCTTTCCCCTTTATGGGGAAGACAGGGTGTGTGATGGTGTCAAAGGGAAAGGGGAAGGATAGGAAAGAATAGAGTACTAGCTGGAAACTTTACAGATATTCACAAATTGAACAAGGAATCCCTCCTCACACTATCCAAATATACTTTAACTTTCTACTTCAAAGAGATAAAAGAAGATTTACATGAATACACTATCAGTGTCACTCATCTTTACAAGATAGCTTAATTGGTGTAGTAAGGAAAAACTGATCCCACTAAATCACAAACGGGTATCACTTATATAGGCCAACTTAAGTTGGGAAATTGCATGATTCCTGGTGCATCACAAGGAAAGAGCAACTGACAGCCTTATATGAACTAAAATAATTTCATGTAAGTTACTAAACACTGCATACAAAAGCTAATCTTTATAAATTTCACTTAGAACTATTTGGGGGGTAAGGGAACAATGAACTATCTTCAGGATAACAACAAAAAAAAACCTCCACAGCTTCCTTCATATGCATAAAAAAAAGTACAGTTTACTATTGTAAACAATTTAACATAATAGAACAAAGTCATGCTTCGTTAATGGTACCAAATATGAAAGTATGAGGTTAACGGTCTGAAAAGTTCCTTTGATCTAACCTTTGGTGGTTCCTGTGGCAGAGAAACAGGTTCTGTAGGAGGAGGAGTAGTAGACTTCTCCTCTAACTCTTCCAAGTTCTTCTCTTCTACTTGTGGTTTCAGCTCTTCAGTCTTTGTTTCAGATTCTGGCTCAGGTTCAGGTTCGTGAGAGGATTCTTCCAAAGGCTCCTCTATGCCATTACTACAATGAAGTATTTAGTTCACTTTTCAGTATGAGTAAAATAATCAGTTCAAATAAGATAAAATTCAATTTCTCTCCAATCTAATAGGTATAATTAGTTATGTGTCAATAACCTATTGTGTTCTAAGGAGTTAGTTTGTTGTTGTTGCAGTACTAGGGATGAAACATGGGGTCTGCCTGATATGCACATGCCAGGCAAGTGCTCCACCACTGAGCCACTCCCCTGTACCTATCGTGTTAACTACCAAGAAGAATGTTTACCTTAAGGCTAACTATAAACATGCCATGTTTTATAAAAATAAAATACTTAGTGTTGTTCCAAGCATTTGACATTATCAGTAAGTGACTACTGTTTTGGTGCAAACCATGTTAAGTTTTGAATTAAGTAAAACGATTCTTTCTCAATTTCTTGACATATGTAATAGGTACTTAAATACTGGTCTAACAGGTAGTTCTATCAAAAATTTACTTAGAGGGGCTGAGGGAGCAGTTCAATTGCAGTATGTGTGTTTTATATGCATGTGGCTCTGAGTTTAATCCCCAGTGCCATACACACACACACAAAAACCTTTTAACTTCCAACAGTGATCCTAGGAACAAAGACTACCTTGCAACTACACTACAGTTGAGACCAAATGTAACCTTGAAATACTACTCTTACGTCACAGGGTGAGCTTCATAGTAACCACTGTTAGCATTTTCTTGCACAGGTTCAGGAGATGGTTGCCTTTCTTCTTGCTCCTCTTCTACTTCATCTTCTGATTCTGACAATACATAATACATCACATCTTTTTTGAAAAGGGTCTATGTAATGTCTAATATACATATTTTTGTTATGTTTAAGGAAGTGGTATGTAAGTAAAAAAAAAAAAAAAAGTTTATTTTTTACAAAGGCAATTGCAATATTCCCTGTTCTCCCAAAAAACTGGAAAAAAAAAAAAGCAGTCATGTAATTATTTACTGTTCTGTTAGTAAGAAAAAGAAAAGGTAGGAAATAAGTTAAAAGCCGTAACTCAGTTTCCTTTGTCACATCTACTTAATAGACAAATAATGATAAATAGGGAAACAAACAAACGTGTATCAATCAAATTATTACAGTATAGCTGCAAAATGGAAATGGACCGCCAACATTAAATGGGGAAAAAAAAGCAGCTTGTGTCAACTTAATCCTTAGATAAAAGCAAGTATTGGAAAAAAAAAAAAACCAACCTACACTAAGCACTAAACTTTTGGTCACCTATAAGAGACTGAGGGAAACCTCTTTGTCTTCTGAGCCTGATTTTTACAAAATTTCATATAATGCACATCTATATTTTTCCTAGCAAAAAAACAAAGGGGTGAGGGAGAAGAGGGATTTTGACTCAGTCACAATTAAAAGTCAAATTACTACAAGTTTCATACTTTCACAAACTAAAGAGTACTTATAGAGTACTTATCAAATATTGACAAAATCCTCTTATCTTCAAAGTAATCTTACCTTCATCAAGTTCTGGTTCAGAATCACCAAATACTTCATCTTCATAACGAAACATATCATTGTGAACATAAAATTTATTTGGAACAGATCCCTATAGGAAACAGTGTGCAAGTATTACACGAATACCGTTAAGTTTGGTATTACATAAGGAAAACAAATTACATGGCAATTACAATCTTAATTTTTACACCAGAGTCTGGATTTAATGTAATGTACCCAAGCTGAACATGCTATGACTTTAATATAAACTAGAAAAGATCACTGAAAGAATATTAGAATCCAAGAGAATTCTGAAGAGAATCAGAAACAATTAATGAACTTTTCAATATTCTTCAATATGTAACCACTTTTTAATATGTCAACAAAATTTTTGTATTCTTAGTCATCCATTCACACATTGTATCAGCACCTAACTTTTAATTCCAAACAAAACACATGAAATAGCCCAAGTTGAAATAAATTGTATCAGCAAGGCCAATAAAATTTTTCAAAAACTACAAATTACAAATTTAAACCTATTAGAAGAAACTCTTGAACATTCAACCAACTAATACTAGCCAAGTTAAATCATGTAAGTGAAAACTAAGTGAAATGAAAACTTACTTCAGGAGCCAGAACAAAGGTTTGCATGAACTTCCTCTCTGGCTGTCCACTGTTAGACAGCAAACCCATGACCTGGACAACCACTCCATCACTCAAGGTTGCATGAGCATCCACATGACGAATTTTGGTATGACATTCACTGAAGTTCAGCGATAACACTTTGTGGTGTATATCCTTTCATAGAGGGAGGAAATACAAATTCTTATGATACTGCATTACCTACACAATACTATTATCCATCTGTGTTGGTTTCCTCACAACCCTAAAATGTTCACTATCTTTCTACTTCATTTAAATGTGTTCCACTATGCTATGAATCAGCAGCCTGCTGCTTCTAAGCCACCATTTTAAACATGTCACCTTTCTACACAAGTAAACAGAATAGCTCTGTTAGCTCTGTTATTGGAGAGCCATTATGGAGCAGCAATCTAGACTTTATACAGCCTTCTCCCCCATTTCAGTAATGAGTATTTAGTCATTCTCACAAACTGCACTGACGGCTCCTTGACCTCACACCTAATTTTACTTCACTGTATGCCATTTGTCAATGCCATTTTTCTACTTCCAATTTCTTCAGGTTTGGAAAGGCCAAATCCTGAGTCTAACTGAAGTCCCACATCCTCTACAAAGTCTTCCATCCCTGTTATGTCACAAGGAGCATATACTTCTGTGCAGTCTGGTAATACAGAGTTTAGTTCCACATTTATAGAAACTGAATACACTGTCTTCAATTACTTTGTGTATAAAATACATCAAGGGTACAAAACATCATCTCACTTTCTCCTTTGTATCCATCCCAGCTTAAAACCACATTTCAAACAAAATGACTGCTTAACTAATAGCACAAAGCACACTTGACAATTACTGAAACTCATTCCTGTTACAACTAATGATCGCACTGAAAAAGAAATCCACAGCACAAAAAAGCTATGTTTGAATTCTCTATCTTAACGTAAGAAGACATTTAAAAAACATGTATGAACTGACTTACATTTTGGCCATAAACAGCTTCTTGGGGCTTTCCACTAGCATCTACTCCACCATGGACGTAGGAAGAATTCCTGCCATAAAACCTGCAATGTAAAACCATTGATAATTAAAGATAAGCTTAAGAAGCGGTAGAGTTCTGATGTCAAAACAAACAGATTAGGTTCCAAACAAAGTCTAACTGTCACTTATTAGATATGTAATCATCAGCAAGTTACTTAACTTTAAATCTTTAACTTTAGTTTTCTTGGTAATAAAACAGGAGTGAATAGTAGTTACTTCCCATGGGGATGTCCTTAAGGATTAAATGAGTAATACATATAGAAATCTTAGTGTATCTGGCATATTAAGTAGACAATCAATCATTAGCTACTCTCATCTAATTATTATCAGTTATCTTGTTAAATCAAAAACAAGATAATCAAAGTACATTCTGAATATATACGCTTTAGTAACTGATCAATTTTTTTCTTCTAATTAAAAAAAAAAAACCTCAGTCATCTAAGTTTGAGAATCAGAAGTTCTGTTTAACACTACTGAAAGCTCCAAATGATTGCTAATTCCAAAGGGTAAGTTTAAAAAACAGTTTATCTGGGTGTGGTGGCACCTGTCATCCCAGCACTGGTGAGGCTGAAGTAGGATTGGAGTCTGAGGCCAGCCTGGGCTACACAGCAAGACCTTGTCTCAAAAAACAAAATGAAACAAAAATAGCTTAGTTACATTTAAAATAATTGAAATAATTCAGAAACCAAGTCAGAAGTCTGTAATTACTTCAGCATCTAATTTTCTTATTATTTTTATGCTGCTCTACTTTGAAGTACATGATAAATTAAGACTTTCTCTGGCATTACCTAAAGCAATTAGAATTAACATCTTTCTAAAGGTTATCAAAATGCAAAGTTACTTTCTGCATAAAGAGACTACACCTCCCATCATAATGAAACATATAAGAGCTTCCTTTGTGCCACGTAACAGTTTCAGTACATGACATGTATTGATTCTTTTAACCTTCCTAATAACCTCATAAAATAAGCACTATTATCTAAATAAGCAAACTGAGGTTCAGAACAGGTTAAATGAACTCTCCTCCTACAATCATATACCTATCAAGCAGCTAAGACAAGAACCCAGACAGTTTGACTCCATAGTCCATGTTTTTAACCACTACCCCACATTTGAAATTTTATGTTATTTTCTCTCATTTATTACTGGCAAGCATATAAACTAGCATTATTTTTTTCTAAAGGGCATTTTGGCAGAGCACATGTGTATGTACGAAAGGCCTAAGAGATCATGATACTTCTGATGCAACAATTCTCCCAAGAACTTATTCTAAAAATGTATCAGGGGGGCGGGGGGTGTTTGGCCTAAACCACGTTATACACACGTGAAAAATGTAAAAATGATACAATTTTTTTAAAAATTTAAAAAATAAAAATGTAACCAGCAAGGTAACAAAAATGCATGTTTAAAGATATTCATGATAGTATTGTGTATACCAGTGAAAAACATACAAGCCACCAAAATTTTTGCAGAGAAAAAGTGGTTAAAAAATCTAGGTATAAAATGGAAGTCCGTGATGGTACAGAACTTTGCTATTTCAAACCTTGCTGTTTTCATTACAAAAAAAATGCTACTACCTACATTGTGAAAAGACCAAATTTCAGATTAAAAGGCCCTACTGATTCTGCTTTCCCACACTTCCCTCACATACACTGTCAACAAGAACATCTTTTTTTGTAAGAGAATCATATAGCTAGTCATTTTGGGGAGTCATATATGTTATACTTTATAATCACTACATTCCAGTAGAGCATTTGGGCTCTGCAGTAGGAACTCAGCTTGAACACTAGCTATGGATAAAGCTCATTTACTTACTGAGTGATCCTTGATGAATTTCTAATCTCCTTACTAATCAAGAGTGATTCTGAATTAATTACTAGCCTTAGCTGTCCAATATGTAAAATGAAGTAATAAAAGCACCTATACTTTCTACACTTTCCATGAAGATTACATGAAATAATAAATGTATGTCAAATACTCAGAAAGGAAGCCCAGCAGGCAGTAAACATAAAAATGCCTCCTGTATAAGAAAGACTATTATACCTATCTTCAACGTGCAAGACAAACTGCAAAATCTAACTTTTAATGCCTAGTGAGGACCTACAAATAAAGAATAAAGAGTAGGTCTTTTTCACAGCCTTTCCCAGAAAAAGTGACATTCATCTATTTATCCTTAACTCACTTAGCTGGTGTGTTCTAGCTACTGTGTTCAACAAATATTTAATAAAGACTAATTCTTATAAGAATCTCACTTATATTCACCCAGAAGAATAAAAATTAGTAAGAACTATCTACCATGCTAATAAATTTTATTTCAATCTCTGGAAAAAATAAGCTTACAAATGTCCAACTTTTGTCAAAATAGTAAACAAAGTTACTGTTGCTGTTTCACAAGCGAATACTATTTTGCAGATTAGAAGAAACACAAATTTTCACAAGTACAACTGATTCATTTCCTAATACTATGACAAACTTAAAAAGATGATTTAATCCATTGATTTATAATTTCATATCAGACCTCATTAGTTGGTCAGGCCTTACAATGTTTTTAAATGAAATATGAAATACCAGAGTACATATAAAAGAATGTGTGTATATAGATATTAAAGTGCTAGGTACTGGGATATGTTTTCTTACTGTGGTCTACAGCCAAAAACCTTAGAAAAAATACTGACTTTAGCCATCATATAGTTAAAAATACGTGGCATGGTTTAGAGATGCTTACAAAGACAGCATTGTTATAAAGAGTCAAGAAAGGTAAAATACATGTAACCACAGCAAAAAAAAAACCACAAAAACTAAATACTAAACAATTTCTTTAAAACTTTACCTGTGCAAATATTCTGGAGCTTTATTCAGCAACGTATAATATTGCCTCACAAACTCCCGCCCTACAAGCAGCGGACTGGGCTTCTCCATAACCATTTCTTTGCTGCACAATGTCAAATGCTGAAGAAACAAGCACAAAGATAAGAGCTATTAAAAATTCATCTTTGTAAGCTACCAACAAATAAATTTTCTTAGGCACACAAAAGGGGATAAAGAAAATTTATTAAACAATGATTTACAACAGCAATACAATAAATTCCCAGTCTCCAAAGTTTGGACCTCCCTTCATCCTTTCTTGATTTCCATACTGCTCTGTACAGGGAGAAGTACTTTCTAATTTTCAAGAAAATATTAGCACAAATGAAACACAACTTCTCCTAATTTACTTTATACATAACCCCTAGAGAACAGTCTAAATTGCAACCAACATTAAGGACTGGAGAGAAAGGAAAAAATATGAAATTTTAAATATTACTCATTGAAAAAAAAATCAGACTGGGTGGAGGTGCAGTTTAGTAGTAGACCAAGTACTCTGCATTCACAAGGCCCTGAGTTCAATCCTCAGCACCAAAACCAAAACAAACCACAACAAAATATAAAATCAAGCATCCTTTCTTGTTACACTTAAAAATACTGAAAAAAGAATCATAATATGTAAGTGTAAATGGACTGGGCAAGTCAGAATGCAGCTTCAATTCATATTTTAACTATTTCAATATAGGGTTCCTTTAAACAACTAAATAATTTCACAGCCAAAGACAGGAACAACAGTCATTACAATATGATGCTAATCTTGATAAAAGTCAGGTAAAAGCATAGAGGTAAGACTGTAGTGCTACACAATTCTAGTGATTTCCAATTCAACTTTACATTATACTTGTAGGTTCCTTCTTTATTCTTTTGCAACTGTCCTTCTAAACTCCTAACTCAATCTAAAACAATCCCCAATTTTTTGTCTGTTGTTTTGGTGGTACTGGGATTTGAACTCATACTCTTGCATTTGCTAGTCATGCACCCTGCCACTTGAGTCACTCCACCAGCCTGCCCCCTCAAATCTGTTTAAGTGTTCATAATGTCTCACTTGCTTTCAAAATAGTTAATTCACAAGCAGGTTCAGATAATGACATTTCAGGTGCCACTGGTTTCTGCAAAACCTGAAAGCTTTCAAATAAGGGTAACAACGCCTAATGCATAATAGACTCATCTGCAACATTTCAAGTAAGCCAAAACTTGGTTGAGGTACGCTCAACAGAAGCGCAGCTCAAGGTCAGCTCCAAGTTCCATCCCCAGCACCACAAATATAAATTACATAAAATTAAAGCAGCAAGGTCACATGACTTTAATATGTTTATCTGAATGATGAGAGAAAGTGAATAAAGTATAAGTTTATAAGAGAAATAAAATGAGTGTTGAAGTAATTCTTCAAGTTTGATCTCAGCACCACAAAGTAACACATACTGAGACATGGATGATCTAAATTACCGCTATGGGATAAAAATATCCAAGTTCATAGTCAAAAAACTTAACAGAAGTGCTTTACAAGCAGGAAGCCCAGAGTTCAAACCCGTCCTACCAAAAAAAAACCCACCTAAAACTTAAATTAGACTAGCCAGGAGACTGAATATCCCCTGTAAACCTCATGCTGAAATTTAGTTGCTATTATACAATATTAAAGAGATATTAAAGATAAAGATTTTGATTAAAGCAATGATTAGGTTCTTAAGGGCTTTGATTCCATGAATGGATTAATGCTGCTTTTCAACAGGATATAATATAAAAAGAAAAAAAAAAAAAAAGGCTTAAGAGGAGCTTCAATGCTAGTCAAGAAAAGTACCACATGGCCAGGACAGGCCACTGATTTAAATCAAAGACAGGAGAAGGATAAAAGAGTTAACTAGTAACTGATTTATCATTATTCAGTATAACTTATTTTAAAGTAGGAAACATGAAAAGGTAACCTCAAATTAGCAATGTTAAGAAAAGCAGTAACAGCAAGCTATGCAGAATCCACTTAAAATGATTCAGAATTTAGAAAGCTAGAAGAATAACTGATTAGAAATCAAGGAGAAAATGAAGGTACCGCTTATGATTAAAACAAAAAAAAAATCTCACTACTTAAGTACACTCTTATTTCTCACCCATATTGCAATTCTCTGGCTTCCCATTTTCTCTGGTAGACTAGAGTAGGAAGGACAGATTCAATAAATAAGAAATGACATGAAATAAACATCTGAGACAGACTATAGACAAGTCAATCCAACAAGGCAATTTGGGTAGTTGTAGAAAAAAAAAAAGACTTAAAAAGAAAAGTCAAATTACCTAATTCAGATTAAATTCCAATACTCAGGAGGCTGAGGCAGGAAGACTGTGACGTTCTGGGCCAACCTGGGCTATTTGTAATGAGATGCGTTTCCAAAAAAACAAACAAATAAACAAAATAAAATTTGACAAAAAGAACCTGCCCTTTTATTTCCTCACAGCTAAGTAAGAGGCCAACTAGATGGCTGCGATTTGGGAACTTTGCTTCTTTTTTTTTCAAAAGTTGCTGAAAACAAACATTCAGAAAATTAAAAAAAAAAGTTTTATCTTACTAATGATTTATGGCTTTGAAACTTGAGTCTCAATCTTCCCCCAAAGCCTCAATCTCCCTAGTATATCCCAAATTTAGAGGACGAAGATACCAAGCCTAAAGGAAGAATCAAAACCTTTAAGACTACATAGTATTCAAAGATAGCCAAGATTAAAAAATAGTTATGTAAAAAACAATCTTCAGAGCCAGGTGCTGGTGGCTCACACCTGTAATCCTAGCTACTCAGGAGGCAGAAATCAGGAGGATCACGGTTCAAAGCCAGCCAGCCAGCCTGGGCAAATAGTTTGAGAGACCCTATCTCAAAGAAACCCATCACAAAAAAGGACTGGTAGAGTGGCTCAAGGTATAGGCCCTGAGTTCAAACCCCAGTACAACAAAAACAACAATCTTCAGGAGGTTGCTCTAACACCTTCAAAGAGCAATTATCACCTATCGCCTTTTCAGAGAAAACAAAATTCCAGGTATTAAACCCTACTTTTTCCAGTGGTACTGCAAACAGAGAAACTGCCATTATACAGGAATGTACAATGTAAACTTTACTTTGACACATTAGCTCTACGCCAACAGACATAGGCTTTCTAGTGAACAAACCTGTCTTTTACTTGTCAACTGAAAGCATTAACACTATTTATTCATCTAGATCAGCCTCCTTCAGTCTATTCAGCCTCCTTCAGTGTTAGTAGAGCCTTAACTAGAGGTGAGAGTCATTCTGTTTGCCAACTCTGTCCATTCTTCATAGAATCTCTGTGAATTTTCATCAACATCCTGTCTTATCCACCGTTTTCTTAAAATGTTTCCTCTCCATTTGTCTAGACTAAATTCTGAAGCAAATATACTCCAGCTCTCATGAAAAATTGCTCTAAATCAATTGTCGTCTTTTCTGAGTCTCTTAATAATTACATGTATTAAGAGGGGAGTAGCAGAAATAAGGCACAGATATGAGATACAAAAGTCACATATCTTACACAATATACTTAGGTTTCCTCAATTTCAAACTTAAAAAACACACACACAAACACACACACATCACAACTTACCAATTGAAGTTATCACTCTTTTCCTTCCTTAACCAAAAATTCAGCTTTGAGGCAAGAAATACTTGCTTAAAATATACTGCATGCGTATACGGAACTTTTGGAATTTTCACATGAAACCCCTCCGTACCATCAATGAATCCTAAGTTTTAAAAAAAGAGAAATACTTAAGACTTGTTTTGTTTTGTTTTTTGGAGGTGGTACAGGGGCTTGAACTCAGGGCCTGGCAATTGCTAGGCAGTCACTCTACCACTTGAGCCACAATCTCCAGCCCTTGTTTATTTTTAAATTAAGAGTAAAGTAAGGGGGCAGGGTGGAGAAATGACCCAATCAATGTATTCGCATGTGAACAAATGAACAATAAATAAACAAATATTTTTTTAAAAAGTAAATTTGGTCTCAGGTATTATAGAGAAGCCGCCAAAGCAAACAGTCACAGGCTGTATTAATACAGATGCAATGTTTAACAGAAGTTGACAGTTCTGACTGAATAAGGTAAACAGAAATTACAGGAAGGTAGATTCGGGTTCAATATAATACAACACTTGTCCATATATCAACAGAGCTACTTCAGGAATAGCTAGATAGCTATTCACTGCAGATTTCCAGAGGCTGAACAATTCAGTAGAAACCTAGTAAAGGAGTCCAAAACAGTGAGAGGTTGCTCCAACACTAAAATTCTCTAAGTGTTAAAAAGAATCTGGACTTTGACTTCTATTACATATTCATTCCATACCTTCCAATCTGTAATGACGAAAGCCCTATGCATTCAAATGGGCCCAATTAAAAGTACGCCCTGACTCCTCAATAGAATGTCTTTCCTCTGAGTTCTCAAAGTACTTTGGGCCTTTTTCATGGCACTTTAGTAGTCATATTTTGCCCCAAGTTACTCATTGTGCAGCTATTCCTCCTCTTCTTTGTTCCCCTCTCAAATATTGTAATACAGCTCTTTCTAGAGTGCAATTCTCTAGAACTCACAATTCTCAAAACTCCAATGTCTTTTCCTCAGTCCTCCACTTCATTATCACTGTTGACCACTTCCTCTTAACTCTTTGAAAGTTCAATGATCAGATAACTTTCCTTCTTATCAAAATGCATGTTATCTTCAAGGTTCTGTATTCTAACTTGACAGATATTCTAATGGCTTCAGCTCTCATGTCTACCTAAGTAAATAATCTCTACCGTAGCCTCAAAATTTACATTTCTAACATGTACTGAATACTCACATACCATCTCATAGGTAGCACAATATATGCACCACTTATACAGAGAAGGCTATGTCCTCATCGCTATTGATGTCTCCTCTGCATCTTCTTGACTTTCTTGAAAGCTTTAGTCAAAATAGCTTTCCACCCTTAAACTTTGCCATTCAAGTTGTGAAATCCAACTCCTCTCCTTTTCACTCCCACTGACTTAATTCAGACCTTATATTTCTCCCTCAAAGTTTTCCATGGCAAAACCCAAACACCTGCATTCAGTTAGGCATATTAGACCCT